TTACCTAGTGGAGGTAGAGGTACATTAATTGCAAAGACGATCTTGGAACTGAGAAAGATCTTCGTAACAAATTGCTATTACTGTGTTTATAATTAAATAGACTGTGTGCAACGTGCTTTCTTTCATTAAAGATGTGGCCCCAGATATAATTAAAGCTCGTTACCAACATTTAAGTAAATACAATACTACGGAATTTCTTGGACAACACTATGACAAATATTATTGACTAAAATGATAGGATTAGACAAGAATCGTGTATGAAACACACTCGCCTGTATTGTTGCATTAATTTTATGTCTTCTGGGGATAGACTCTAGTGTTTTATAATTCAGCGGTTATGCCTGCCATATGTAAAAAATATGTAGAATTTTATCATAACGGATTGATAGTTCGCGCTAGGTCTCAACTCACATTCTTACCCTTAATGGCTTGTTCAGTTGTATCATGATGTTTTATTTATACGACGTAGATTAAAACTAATTAATGTGCAGACATCGCAAATTCTCTATGTTAACTTCAAAACAAGCAACAAGCGTTGCTTAGAAAATATAGCAATGTAAATAAATCGGCAGTATACGAGGCGTGACGACAGTTGTACTAACTCCCGTCCATAGGCGGCCGTAAATTGAGGAAGCAACCATCCACTAGAATTCGACCGAGCCGCGGCCGGCCTCTCGGATTTGGGTGCTAATAAAACAGGCACTTTATCTGCTGGAAAATATACACTCTAACGTGTTTAGGGTAAACAATCTTCGTAAAAACTTGTATCGAATGCTACAAAATATATTGAATATACAGATTTAAATAAATGCCGTCGGTATAAAAGTTACATACATGCTTTGTAAACGCTCAGAAATAATATTACATATTTTTTTAATTGTATTCGCAACAATTTAATAACTTTAGTAGAAATATATATTTAAATTTTAATTTCATTCGAAACTAATAACTTTTCTTCACTTACCAAATTAAGTAAATTTTTAGCAAAGTGTATTTATCGCATTGAACTTGTTTAATTATCATAAATATAGAAGTATTTATTTTGTATTTAAAAATTATAAAAGTATCTTTGTGATACATGCAATTGTTATATGTTAAGTTTGTTATTTACTGATTAGCACGCATCCATCGATTGCTCGACCAACATATAAGTACCAGTAGTAAAATGTTTCCATTACATATTTTGATGGAATGCCGAATAACCTGTAATTCATCTTACGAAGCTTATCTTCCACATTTGTCGAAGTCACCGCAACTCGCCGCCAAGAAGTAAAACTCATATCTCCGATTAAAGATTTCATCCTTCGATATTGGACGATCGTAATATTTTAACGACGCAACCTGCTTCTTCTTTGTTTTACTGCCCCCATTTTATTTATCGAAACATTTGACGTAAAAGATGGCCCTTAAAATACGTTTTTTCGTTCAGCAATATCAGTACGATAAGTCATTTTAGAACTTTTACGGGAATAGACATAAATATTTTAACTATAAATTTAAATCTTGCTAATTAGGTACTCGGTATTACTGTCATTATCTGGTTATGAAGCAATATTCATTATTGGGAAATTTTGCGATTAAGTTGTAGGAAACTCCGTAGATAAAGCGGCATTTTTTAACGAGTGTTTTAAGTTCGACTGCCAGTTGGTACACGGCCAAAAATTTTATTTCTCGCTCATAGATTCATTCATATCGACTTTTCCCTATTCTTATGCTTTGCAAATACAATTCGTCCATCTTTCACTTTTTGAAATATATTATCAAAGGTAGTAATACTATATAAATAAAAAAGACAGAGGATAAATAATTCACAGTAAAGACATAGAGACATACGCTGAGATTAATATTGTAATATACTTTTTATGAATTTTCAAAATATTACCTTTGTAACGACATAATACATTCCAACTCGGGTCGCCAAAAAAATATTTATCTATATTTATATTTCAAAAGACAAAAAACACCTAAGCCGTATACACTATAACCGTATACTTTGTTTATATATTTCGTTTTCTTGATCATTATTTCTATACTAGGTGATCCGATCCGCCTTAGATTGGGTCTTAGTTGCTCCTGTAAGTTTGGTGATACGACCAAAACAAAAGTTTATTTAGATTTTAGATTGTGCTGCTAAACGCCAGTGCTTAATTAGACGCGTATATCCAGGAAATAATTCCTAGCTATAACAATTGAAAGACTCTTTATTTATATATTGTATAGTATACTGCAAATCGTATTCATGTGTAATTCGTGTTAATATTGCATGCCTACCTAAAACAATACTTAATACGTGCAAAAAAATACTGTGTAAGCGGTTTTGTCAATGCAACTCAATTAAATATGAAAACATTATTAATGTTGCTCTAAATGTCACGTAGGTCAGGTGTGTTTTGTAAAAATGATTGAAAATGGAAAGCCGTGTGTTTCTTGTGTGTATTATTTTTAGTTTTACATTTCCAAGTAAGTGGTTTTATAATACTGTTAAAATTTAAAATTTACATACGCGAAATGCTAACGAGAAGGAATTCTTGACTAACATAATTAGACCAAATTCAAACATTGCCTGCTTAAATATTTAAGTTATAGAATAGGGTTATCGTTGAGTATGTACTTATTCATTCTCATCTGTTAAGAAGTTTAAGCGAAAAAAACAAGGGACGTATCTTTTAATTATCGTTTTCTTTTTTTTTCAACGAAATGTTTAATAACTGTCTGTTGTATCTGTTAATACATTTTCTGATTTCTTAATGCAACTAGTATTATTTTTTTTTTAAATTATATTTTCTATTCTGACCCACTTTTGTTTTAGGTACAACATCGAAAACATTTTCACTCAACGACGCCATAGCAGCAGAAGAGAAATATAAATCACCAAAAAATCTAGTTCATCAGGTAACTCCAAAAATTCATATTATACAGGTGGCCAAAAAGTCGTGGATCAAACGCATCTAGGGGTTTGATGGGGTTATCAGCTGCAAAAAATTGATCTATGGGAGGACCTTCAGCTCAACCCGTGCAGAGTTATAATTTATTTTGCGTTTTTATTTTGAAAGTTGACTTTTTTACTAATTCTTATTAAAATTCGAAAAAATCTACACCTGTATCTATGTCATTATATCCAATAGATTGGTACTGACCAATCCTTGCGATAATATTAAGTTATACGATATAAAATTTTCTCAAATCTTAACTTTCTGTTTACTTCGGACCCCACTATGAAAAAAAAAACTACCGAAAAAAGTCCCAGTATTACAAGTTTTGGCGCATTTAATAGGGCTTCTGAAAATATATTACACGTGGCCATGATTATATAGGTTTAATAACACATTTAATCCATGATCACGGTTGTGTTGTAAGATGTTATCTTGATAGAATAAATTGTTTTGATCACAATTTGTACTTTAAGTAAGCTAAATTATGATATTTTTTTCTGCATTACTATAAAACGAATGACGGAAATAGAATAATAATAATTGTGTAATGGGTTAGCACAGAAGTCCTGACTTAGAAAACCGGGAACGTTTTCTTTCTGCATTAAACCAGTAAAACTTACTTGCTATAATAATAATTAAGATTTTTATTTTGTTTTCAGGTTCATTTTTGAGTAGCGATAGGTTACAGGCGTTCGAAGCCCACAGGCAAAATATTAGAGGTGTGTACATATATTTAGAATAATGTAAAATTTAAAGGATGTCTGTTAAGTCATAAAAATTTCAAATTTCAGATATAGGAAAATCCCTATCAAGAACCTTATTTTCACCATTAAAGTATAGACAACCCTTTGCAAAACCGTTTCAAATTAAATCGCCTCCGAAGCCTAAAGCTTTCAAGCGACCTCGTATAGGAGGCTTGAATATAGAAAAACCTACCCAACAAGCGAAACGACAATTACAAGATGAAGATATCAATGAAGATTACATCCCAATATTTAAAAGTCTTAGCATCATTCTTGACAATATTCTTGAACCAGACTCACGCGAAGGTACTGTCCCAAGAAACAAATATAGGAGAACTAATAGAAACAGACTTGAAACGAATGACGTCGTGTGCAATTGTGCCCTTAGATCAACAACTGATGTCAACGTGCCCGATCCGTATCAAGAGGCAGCTGCTGCCGCCACTTTTATCTCCACTGAGGTCGAGACTGAGTCACGATCGCCTCCGATTACCACCGCGAAGACCCATCGTTTTGCCCATCATAACATCGGCAATATCAGACGGAATCAGAACGTACCCGCATTACCTCCAAGAAATACCTCTGGCATTGGGAGAAACGATAGTGGAGTCCATGAGGGGCGCAGCGCCCCGGATATCCGAAACGATGAAAGATCTTTCGCCAGGAATAATGGAGATCATGAACACGATACCGGAGACAGAAACATTTCATCCGATACAGAAAATAGCGAAGAAAATACCAACAATGATACACGATACAGTTCAAGCAGCCTTGAACCCCGAAGTGGATTCCAAGGTGGAGACGGAACTTTCTCAAGAGATGCAGATGGAAAAAGAAACACAATCGATGAGCAGATTGACGCGCCCGTCAATTTTAAAGGAAACATACCTAGATACGAAGAAAAAAATAAGCTCGCAAATAGAACAATCCAAACAGAAAGCCCAATACCTGTATCAAAACTTACTACAAGACTACAAAGAATTGAGCCCCAAAAACCAGAAGCTATACAACAAAAGGCGAAAAAGATTATGCAGCAATCGAACGCTTTATCTCCAGCGCTAAGCAAATCTTTAACCGCAATAGCCAAAATTCCTCAATCAATAAAAGAAGCAGTAAAGCAAATGAAACAATAGTCAATAAGAAGGACAGCCCGCATAACAAAGGTATCATGATATTTGATGGCTATAGTGTTGCCAGAGATGTTAATGGTGAAAACAAAATGTCAGAGAAAGCAATAGAAATTCGTACATAGGATTAGAAGTAATAATTGTTTGAACTGTATTATATTAAAATATATTTAAAATGTAATAAAACAATAGATAAATCATCGACGGCCTTTCTTTCCTTTGCTTTTATTTATTGCTTGCACTGCAGGCTGGGGTTGCTGTTCAGCTGGTCTGTAAAATGTATTTTGAGATTAATTATAAAAGGGTTTCAATTTCATAACCTAAACTTCTAGATGTTCAATGCTTAATTAGTAGCAAGTTTAATCTGAGTATGCAGATTTTTTTATGGGACATGAGGCAAACAAGCTGTTTAAAGTGATAACCGCCGCCCATGGATAACCTGTAACGCCAGGGGCTAGTGGTTGGTTGGTTTCAGGGAATGGTACGCTCTTTTCCTGAAGGTCCTTAGGGACCGGTAATACCTCTATGGGCAGCAGATTCTAAGAAGAGTGCCTTAAAAAGTGCTATGTTTTGGAAGGCCAGGCGTCGAGATGGAAAGGAGTAATTTTTAATTTTATAAAATTATTCACTACAGTTCAGATATTGCCTAATTGACACACTTTACAAATGTACAATATATATCTAAAAAATTGTCACTCAACTACCAAATTTTCGACTCAAATATCTAATTTGATTAATTAGTATACATTTATACCTTTCTACTTTTGTATTGTATAAATTAAATTATTATTTTATTTTATTATTTTTAATTTAATTTATTTTTATATATATACCAACTGTCTTAAGTGCCCAATAAGTCTTAAAAAATTAATCTAAGTACTAAGATGTTGAAATATATGGATAAATGAATGATAATTTTAAAATGTGTGCATAAAAATATACCTGTTTTGTCTAGTTTTAAGTTTAGGAATTGTTTCCACTAGATATTTCATCACATCTTCCCTAGTAGAAAATTCTGGTTTGATAGGTGTACCATCATCATTTTTAATTTCTACTCTCAGTCTTCCTCTGTATAATATTTCCTGCAAATGACATACAAGTGACAAAGTTTTTATAACTACAGTACTCTTTTTATGTAAATTGTGTTTATGATCCTTAACAGATGCTGATGAGTAAATCAGTAAAATTTTTTAATGCATTTTGATTTTATATGTGACGAATTTAAGAAAAGAGAATTCATTCATACATATGCATAATTATTAAACATCTGGTAAACACAATAAAAGCAATATTCTTCAAACTGGTAATCATAACCTAACTACCTTCAATTGTAACAGATAGGAAAGGAAAGAAACCTCGTACTTTGCTACGTTCGCGTGGGTATAACTTGTTTTCAACACCAATGTGTAGTCCTGAAGGTAAAAGCACATCTCTCATCTCTTGGTAAGTAGGATTTTCAACACAAATTGACTTCGGTAAACGGCGTCCTTCAGCTAGAGTTTTCTTACAGTTGATGTAGGCAGGATATATACATATCCATCTTGAAAGAATGAATGAGTGTATTACAAGATAACATTCCAAAACAGGGAAATATGTTAAAATCTAAATATGTTTCTTAACTCACCTTTCCACATCAGTATGCTTTTTATTGGGGCTCCAAGACGTAACCATAGATGCCATTTTAAATTATCGGTGTTAATTAGAATTTTGATTATCGATAGAATAATATATATTATTATTTTATTATTTAAAAGAACATCAATAAAAATATAGGACTGTACAACATGAACATACGTCAGCGCAGCAGACTTTACGTTTACTTGATTTATGACAATTTACATATTTTTAAAAATAAACAGTAGTCACTTGAAACTTCACACTCATTTGTTCACTCTATAGACTATACTATGTAGCATGTACCTTTTTTATACTCTGCTAACTGCTTCTGAATTCAGTTGTATGAACTATGCAATATGACAATTGTTTTAAAAATCAAAATGAGAATTACTAACCTAAAATAACGTGTGAACTGATTATTATCAATCAAAATATTCATATATTTTCAACGTCAAATTTGCGAGGCTTTCAGTATTTTGATTTGCACCTTGGATGTTTAAAAATGGATTGTTTATTAGTTGCAGATAATATCATCGTTGCTGCTAAAGGTAGTTTTATTGATTGTTTCATTAATCAGAATCATAAAATAATCTCAATTGAAGATTCCCCTGACGCCAATAATTCAGTATGTGATTTAGCTATTTCTAATAATAATGAATATTTTGCTACATTAACTTCGGATAAGAATCTAACGATCTATAGACTTCCTTCCTTTGATCGTGTTAATTTATTTATATTGCCAAGAAGCGCAAGTAAAATCCGATTTGGAGCCGAAAACACTCACATATTTGTAGCAGACAAAACTGGAGATGTGTTATTTTATGATATATTAAAAAATGACAGTGGTGTTAAGCTCTTGGGACATTTAAGTTTTCTCTTGAATGTTTTACAAAGTCAAGACGGAAATTATCTGATATCAGCGGATAGAGATGAAAAAATAAGGGTTTCATGCTATCCTAATACATATAATATACAAACATACTGTCTAGGACACAAGGAATATGTAAATCACATTGAATTTCTTCCCCACAATAATAGATATCTATTAAGTGCATCTGGTGATGGAACTATAAAGTGTTGGGATTATGTTGTTGGACATTGCACTTGTACAATTAACACAAAAAATGATTTAAGTGATCCAAGACTTCAGGAAGAATTCAAAAAAATTATGGACGAAGATGGTATTGAAGTAGAAAGCCTTCCCATAGTCCATTTTACAACCTCAAAACTTAATGATAATACTAGTTTAGTAGCAATTTCAATTTATTCATGTAATAATTTGCTTATATATACTATACAGACTGGTGATCAATTCCAATGCCATTATAAACTTACTGGAACATTACAATTAAAAGGTTTCTTAAATTGTATAGATCTTTTTAATACAGCACTGTATGTGTTTAACGGCAGCAATAATATATTAACAAAATATGACATCACTAATTCTGATAATAATATTGTTATTAATGAATCACTAACAATAGAAATGTTAAGTAATACTAAAATTGATGTAAAAATTGACATGGAACAAAACATTAAGATTTTGTTTAAGCGGAAGTTTGACAATGTCCAAGAGTATCAAGAGCGAAAAAGAATAGATTAGTTAAAAAAACATGACAATTTGACCTGTTGCTTATATGTACTGTACTATGTTTTTTCAGCTTATGAATGTTATTATGCAAATGTTAACAAGAACTAAGGAAAACAACTATGTGTTTAGGATAAATAAAACAATTATTTAACATGCGTTGTTTATTATTTGTCAATCAAATTAAGAATATGATGTGCACAAGTTTACAAAAATAAGTGAAACCTAAGTAATGTTTCAACAATCAGCTATCAAGAGCTAAGCCAATATCATCCATATACACTAACAAAGACAAAATAAGATATCACATTTAACTAAACAACAAACAAATTTTTACTTTAGATTCTCACCTTATTGCTTTTGATAGAAACAGTTTATATAATATATAGATCTTGCAATTTCCACATGGAATTAATTGAACATAATGTTTTTATATAGATTTACAATTGTTACTCCTAAATGCAATAAATACAATTTTATATCCTACTTTGTTTTACCTTGACTTAAGCACATTAGCAAAGGTGCGAAGATGATAGCTCACATTGTCTATTTCATTCAAGATGTTCTCTTTAAGATCCATTAGATCTGGTAGGTTATTACAATCAGGCACATTGAGTAGCGTTGTAAATATCTTATCCCATAAACTTACTTTCATGTACCTGAAAATTATTTAAACATATTAAATCTAATTTACAAAATATTAATGTTGGATGATCTAAATTATAAAGTACTACACTCAATCAAATCTATCCCATTGACTAATAACTATATGGATAGTTGTTCTTCAAATGTTGACTTTATTTTTATGTTTATGCTAACTAACCTTGGTAATTTTTTATCAATATTCCACTGCCCAAGACGATTAGCCACCTTCATGTAGCTACCCATTAGTATAACATGTATAGTGCCAGCTAGACAGTACAAATCTGTTTGATATGTCCATGGTTTTCCTTCTCTCATTTCAGTACAAGTGAAGCCTTCTGTTGCGATAACCTGTAAATATGTCTTAGATTATCTAGCAAATAAAAGAAAGAGACAGCATAACAATTTGGCAACCAGTATATGGTGCTTATACATGTCATATCATTTAAACTTCAGAGCAAATATCTTAAAATTAACTGACCTCTCTAAATGTTGTCTCCTCTGGGAAAAGAGACATATCTATTGCACATCCAAAATCTATCAACTGCAGTGATGGAGTTCGCCATTCTTGAGTGGGTCTGCAAATAAAATATAGATGTTATGTAAAATTTCAATTCAATACATAGATTAGAGATATTTATTGAATTGGACATACATTTTTAAATTCATGAATTTTAAACTTATTAGTTTTATATCATATAAAAAAAAATATTTATTTCTTTTACAGGATAATATAAAATCATGATATGTTACATTAAAAAACTACTGTGGTTTGTATTAATGTAACGTTGTTTGCTCTCGATGTACAGAGCCGAACTTGCGTTACCGCTCGGGTCTGTACGTCATGCTCAACTTAATTTTTTGTCATCTTCAACTTCAAACTTTAATTTGAACAAATACTTACATTTTCATTAGCAAAAAGTTGTCTGGCTTAATATCAGCATGTATAATCTGCGCCTTGTGAAGATAATGTACTATAGATAACATTTCAGCCGTAAATAATATAACTATAAGCTCGTTAATACATTTTGAGGTAGCTACGCGAACTTTATTAGCCACATCTAGTAAGGATCCATATTTAGAATATTCAGATACAAACAAACTTGCATTATCTCCAAGAAATGCTGTGCTTATATCCATGTAACCTGGAAGCTGGAAAAACACAGAATTTTAATAAGATATAATTTATTTTATAAATATGAAATACATAATGTGATGTTTATCTATTGACTAATAATTTGATATGGAAAAATCAGCAACAAAATCTAACTTCAAATAGTAAACTTGTGGCAGAAGTTCAAAATACAAGAAATTGTTAATATAATTTTTACTTACCATGAATGGATTTTTTATTCTAGCCTTTATTTCTTGGCAAATATAGAATTCCCAGGGCCGGCTTGGTTTCTGATATTTCACGGCAACCGATTTGTTACTGTTGATATCTAGGCATAGGAATACTGCGCCGTAATTCCCTTTTCCCAACTGTTTTTCTATGGAAAACTTGCTTCCACCAACAGTTACTAAAGTCGCTAACTGAAGTTTGGGTATAGACCTTTACTTCATTATAACCTTCGGCATGGGTTTTGTTTGGGAATTTCACATATTCAAGCAATGTTGACAAGATTTTCTTATTAAATGGATCAATTATTTTAGGAAATTCAATGTCAGCTGGTCGAGGTATGTCCGATGTAGATACCATAGATATGGAATGATTAGATTTATAAGCAGTGCAGTCCATACTATTTTCGCTATCAACATCCATTCCATAATCAGAATGCCGTGACCCGACGTATCGGCCATCTTTGTTAACAGAATCTCTGCTGTCTTCAGAATGAATGTCTACACGATGTTCGAAGTCCAGCTGACGTTTGGAGACATCTTTACTTTTGTCAACCATATGTGAAATTTTCGCAGATTGTATAGGAGTAGCCGATTGCGCAGTCATTCCGTCTTTACTGTCGGAGTCGGATAGCCCAGAAGAAGGTGGTATTTGAGCTTGTTCTGGACTCGACACATAGAGGTTTTTATGCATCTTTTGCGAAATACTTGGGCTATTAGTAAATTTAGGAGTATTAGCATTATCTTTGGGTTCATTTCTATTTGTAATGAAGTTGAGAAACTGATTAGAGAACCCAGCGTCAGGAGACTTTTGTTCGATCTTAGCGCTTGGCTGTTCTTTGACATTTCTCGATGTTGTCGGACACTTATTTGGAGGTTGACTTTTATTTTTGCCGCTTTCGTCAGCATTTGCTAAACTATTCTCATGTCTCATTTGCACATCATAAGGAACCTGAGAATGGTTATGGGCGGAGGTATTTCTATAGTTATGTTGTGATTGCTGGGGGCTTTGGTATATTTGAAAAGATTGGTTTTGCATGCCGAAACTTTGATTCTCCGTATGTTTAGGAGGCTGTCGATATGGACTTTGGACAGTACTATAATTGGGACTATTCGTTTGATTGGTATTAGAGTACATATTAGCCGTACTATATTGAGCGTGCATGTAGTTTTGGCTATACGCTTGGCTCTGAGGAAGTTGACTAGGTCTTTGATAATACTGAGGGTTTTGATACTGAGGTTGCTGAGTTGGGCTTTGATAGATGGCTTGTTGAGTTGGATAACTCTGTCTTTCGGGTTGATTTGGATAAAAGTCCTGGCGGCCAGGATAAGGGTTTTGGGGACTCATCATAGCGTGACCCGGGCTTCTATAGCCCTGGTTGGAATATGTGGGACTTTGGAATCCGGGAGGAACAGACTGTGCGGCATTGACATCGTGAGGACTTTGCATACCAGGATGCTGAGGACTGTGATATACGGGGCTTCCATAGCCTTGTATCTGTGGCTGATTGATAACTTGGCTATTATAAGCTTGCTGGTGTTGATAGCTGTAGTTTTGTGGGTATTGCATAGATGTTTGTGAATTATATCCATTGTATTGAGTTTGTACTTGTTTTTGATACTGTTGTTCTTGTGTATGGTAAGGCACTGTAGTTTGCTTTTCCTGAGGTTTTTGGGGAGCACTTCTGAATTGTCCGTTGGGCAATCTGGCTTGTGAAGCTAAAGATACTCGTTTGCTGTTATGCTGCATAGGGTCATTATTATACATTGAGTCATAGTTGGTTGTGTAACCGGTAAAGTTTCCTCTTGTAGATTGCCCAGATGAGCTTGATCCAGATTTGCTGAAAATTACGATAAAGAACATAAACTATCTAACAAAATCATTCAAAACTTAAATTTAAAACAGGTCATTTACATTACACATGTTCTTGGCTTCAATTTAACTAAATTTAATTTGTTTAAAGGAAGGTAGAGCAGTGTTGGCCTACCTACGAAACCGACATGTCTTAGACCCAAAAAGTCGATGGCGTGTGTTAAGCACAGGAGGCTGATCACCTACTTGCCTATTAGATTTAAAAATGATCATGAAACAGATTCAGAAATCTGAAGCCAAGACCCAAAAAGGTTGTAGGGCCATTGGTTTATTTTTTTTATTTTAAAGGAAGTTGGTAATCAAGCTTTTTATGCTCGATACGCGACGATTTTTAGGTCACATCATCATCACATAAAAAAAACAATTACTGCACAGTGCACACCTTTGATTTGAAAGTACAACACGAGTTGGGAGGAGCCAACTCAAGCCACTACTGTTCTAAAATTTGTATGTCTACAGTACTTTGCCATATCAATCACGAATAAGATTGTAAAGCACAATAAACACCTGATGAAATGAATCACCAAGTTATTCACTAGAATTTAATTTGTTGCAGCTCCTTACAAACTTTGTGTAAAACAAATAACTTGGCGATTAAAAAGAGTGGCGGAGAGTTTATTGCCAGTTCTTCTCTTCCGTTCTACACCCTTGATTTGAGAACTGGCAGTAAATGTAAAATTAGAAGCATTTAATGTATATTTCTTTTTAGACGTTCATAGGTGTACATTGTGTTATCTATATAAATAAATGATTTTTGACTTCACTTGACTTTGACTAATAGGAAAAAAAATTCTCGTCTTCTCTTACCTGTTGTATTCCCGCGTAGCTTCCATAATTACTGATAAACCAACCCCTTGGTTATCAACTGTCAAATGCTGATCCGGTTTCAACTCTTCCCTTTTCACGTGATCTTGGTCCATAGCACTTTCGTCAATATTAAACTTTGGCATGGAAAATTTACTTGAATCTATGCAACTGATAGGTTTTTTGAACTGAGACATGTTGGGTGTACTCGACATTTTCACATTTAAATTGAACACTTGGGTGCAGGACGGTTCTTCATAGTATGCGGTTTTGTTAGCCTATAATAAAACCTCAGTTAAGTATTGAAATAACACTACTTACAAAAGACACACATACATCGATACAGAACTATTGGTCTGTATATTGTCAGAATAAGAAAAGTAGAGGCTAAGTACGACTACCATAACAACGTTTTGAATTTGGACACACGGAAGTCATAATGACGACTCATTGGTCTAGTGGTTAGTACCCCTGACTGCGAATCCATGGGTCCCGGGTTCGATCCCCGGCTGAGACGAACATCAATGTGATGAGTATTTGGTGTTGTGCTTAGGTCTTGGGTGTTTAAATATGTATTTATATGTCTATATATCTATAATATGTATGTTTATCCGTTGCCTAGTACTCATAACACAAGCTTCACCAGTTTAGCATGGGACTAGGTCAATTGGTGTGAATTTTCTTTAAAAAAATAATAATAATTATAATAATAGCTTTTCATCTAGACTGAATCTTACCCTAAAAATGGTATTGATTTTTAGTCATACAAAACAGATTTATTAATGGTCAATGTAGAATGATAACCTCGTATGTTAAGAAACCATTTATTTTTTTATTCTTATGGCTCTTATGTCATTTAACTGGTATAATCATGAAGTAAGGACTTATTTATGTTATTAATAAATAAGTTCTTTTACCATCTAAAACTATGGGCAAAAACACATAATAATATTTTAATGAATATTAACGAAATGAAACATTTTCATTTCCTGTAATGTTTGGTTCTCTGGACATATGAGGTTATCATTCTACAGCGATGAAATATCGTTTAGTGGGAGAATGGGTACTCATTTTAGTGTGATTTCTATCAGCCAGGGGCTTTAATGCCTTGCAACAACAGACATTAGTATGTTGAGGGAAGTTTATAGAAAAATGGAAAGGACAGTGACCGTTCCTTCTGTTCCTTCTTAAATTAACTTAACTTTCATGGTTTTGACATTTGTGAAAGGGGTAAATTTTGTTTAATTATTTATTTAAAATTTTATAAGAAGACTTATTTGAGTAGTTAAGTCTTTAGAAAGCCTCAAGAAAGTATATTTTAGTTATAAAACCCATAAATAAGTTCCACTGGAGATGGATCATCGGAATAAATATATTTGTTATACCAAGAAGCTATTGAGATATTAAACAGCTTAAATTTGATGATTTGCACATATTTTTTTATCTTTAATTGGGTATAATACTGTCTTTTCTACAGATTTAAACATACTTCAACTAGCTGAATGTAATAATTTTCTTAAAGAGAATTCTAGGCAACTTATCGACATTATTACATATTATGGTCGGAATTATAAACTTAGAAGTTTTTCTAATATGTTAAATTTTCATTTTATAATTATGTTAATTAATTTTACCTGAGGCACACTGGGTGTAGGAGGTGCAAATTTTTTATCATTTTCCTTGTCATTTGGCAAATCTGGAGAATCATTTATATTGTAATTCTTTTTGGTATTCAATGCCATAGTTATGGATCTGTCTTCGTGAATATCGAACTTTGGAACCTCAAATTGTTCTTCCACTGGTTGGACCATTGATTGTTCTATAACTTTAAAACAAAAATAACTTTAAAGTCAAAGTTAAATAGAAAATTTCTCAAAATGTCAATTCTAGTTTTAATATCTTTTGTCAAGTTTAATTTTTTTGTCAGTTTTAAATATATACAAAATTCTATAAAATAAGAATGTTTTTGAGTTTATCCATTACGTAAATTTCTCGATATAGTACAGACAAGTACTAAATTAGCGACAAAAATTAAAACATACCATTATTATCATTGAAGATGTTCCTCAATTCCCATCTCGCTTCTTTCGTGTTCACTGTCACCGAATCTCCCAATAAATTTCCCATTAGACTCCTATTGAACTCCTCCATCAAATTGTTTTTGGGGTAATTTGTACCATTGTATCCCGCCTCATCCATTTGATTATCTTTATCGTATTTTTCATCCTTTTTACTTTCATGATTACTTAGTTCCTTCGAATCGAGGTTGACTAGTACTTTAGGCTCTCCCGGTGAATGTATGGCGTTGACTTTAACATTCTGAAGAGAAGGTATCTGTAGGGGCATTAGCTGAGACATATGGTCATGTTCACTATCCAAAGCGCAATTCGCTAATGTCTCCAAGGCACTACATTGCATAAACGTCTCATTTGTATGTTCGTTTTGTCTTTCTTCAACTTCTTGAACAGGTCGGATTTTTTTCTCTAAATCGTATTTTCTCGATCTAATTTCTTCTAAACTATATTCCTTATCACCTACATACACCTGTAATGTATAACTTTGCAAATAAATAACAAGACAATACATTTGTCTAATTTAGGACATATAATTTATACATTCTTATTGGCACTGTAATAAGGGAGTTAAATTATAGGTTTTTGACATACATATAATAATTATGAGTGATGACATAATATAATTTTTATTATATTTACTAATCTTTTGTAACCCATCCATCTTATGTAACACTTTCATAACCTAAAAATGTATTATTAGTATGATTATGGAAATAATTATTACGGAATTAAATATTATGTGTAATTTTAAAGCCTTGTTGTATATAGAAATAAAATATAAACGATTTAAAGACAAATGGTGACTTTTACCAGTATAATACTCGAAACAGAACTTATTAAAGCGTACAACCAACCAGGCTCCAGAAGAAAAACCCTTGGAAATGGATATTGTATTCGTTTTTACAACAAACTCAAGCGAAATTAGAGATTTATCTTTCTCAAAAACTCTCGTTAAACGTAAATTAATCAATAAAGCTTCTATAAATTTGACGATTATTTAAAATATCCTTGGGGTTGAGTTGCTCCAGTTACAACAATTTGTATGACTCAAAACTTGGCGATTGAAAAGAGTGGCGGAGAGTTTCTTGCCCGCTCTACGCCCATGATTTGCGAACTGATAGTAATTGTAAATTTAGAATCAATTTAACATCTTTATCTGTTGACGTACCCAACCTCAAGACTTTAATCAAGTTCATTTGTTCAAAAATGTACTTGGTTACCTAAATGAATAAAGATAGTTTGAGTATGTATGAGAACAGATGTTATTCTTACCTCAACTTTGTTATAACATGGTATTTTAGTCGGGTCGGAAGGATCAGGTACGCATAGAGGCACATTGAATACTAAGTCGTCCACGCAGTAAGGCAAATAATTAGCAGGCAACCGCAACTCGTCATTTGAATCTTCATATGCTGCAAAAGAATCTGAACTGTACAACTTCGTAGACAATCCCTTGAGTTATGTTACTGTACTCTTGGGTATATTTATTTCGTTTCCAGACATTCTATACCGGTGTGGTTTGGCATGAGTAAAAATTGAATAAACAAGAAGGTATAACTATTTATTTAATATGACAAGACAAATTTTAAGTTGCCATTAAATAGAATTTAGAATACATAATTGGTGCACGTCTAGAACGGCATTAAGCCCTTACTTCAAAGCCTTGTAATAACCTATTCTTGTACCTCACAGTAATATATTGATTGTACACACTTGTGTGTGTTTCCATAATAATAACTTAAATTACAAAATATTTTTTTCTCCATAGGAATTAACCATAAGAAAACCAAGTGTTAAGTCAAAGATCCGTCCGTCTCAATCAGTTGATTTAACAGGTCCATCTAATTTTTTGATTGCTGACAGGACGAACAAACTGTTTAATAGTATTGTCTTTTAATACAAAAAATAATATCATAAAAAACAAATCACACTAAACTTACGTGTAAACGGCAGAGGCTGATGGGGCACAATATTGGAGTGTACCATTTTAGTCTTAGGGTTCGTCCACATTCCAACTTCTTTTTCATTTTCCACGTTATTTACTTGAAGCAGAGAGGCGAGTCCTGGGTCTTCACTTACAGGCACCGCTTCACGTGATGTCGAAGGCGCGTCCTAATGTTTTTATTAGTTACAGAGTTAATATATTTCGAATCCCACACAGGTAAACTTTTGTCGTACTGTAAGTAACACTGCCGCATTTACGCCCCCAAGTGTTCCGCACGTACCATGAGAATATGAGATTAATTTTATTTTCAATATGAAGAGGTTTGGAAAAAACTGGAGTTACTAATAATGTACTATAAACATGCATATCACATTACAATATCTGTTTACTCTACATATTACAAACAAAGTGTCAGTCTGAAATACTAAAGCGATTTCAGTTTTTATTTTATATGGACAGACATTACTTGTCTAACGAATTATCTGATGATAACGAATAAACAATAAATAATTCTTTATGTTGCTCAAATAGGTTATTTCCAAAAATATAATATGTAAAAAAGTATCTAATGGAGGTATGTCGGAACCAGAACCAATAAAAAAACTATACAAATCACTACTAAAGTCGAGGCTGGGAGACCTGGAGATAAGAAGTCGGGTATCCTTATCTAAAATCCTACATCCAAATCAACATGCCTACAGCTCGGGAAAATCAACAGAATCATCACACCAGAACGTTGTATCTCGCATTGGCAACTCTCTGAAATTAAAGCAGTCAACCCTTGGTGCATTTATTGACATTGAAGACGCTTTTGACAAAACAAATTTCACGAGCATAACCAGAGCACCTGAAACCACCGTGGAGTACCATCGCCTCTTACAGAATGGATCAACCATATGTTAAAACAACGAGCTATACAGTTCAACGTGAATACTACTTTCTAACGAGGTATCGTCAGTAGAGGTTGCTCACAATGTCCTTTCGACGCTATTGTGGAATCTAGTAGTTAAAGAGCTCATTACAGAACTTAACGCTATCAATCTCTACACAGTAGGGTATGCGGATGACATAGCTATGCTAGTATCGGGGAACTTTGAAAGAACCATATGTTATCTCATGAGAAGGGCTTTCAGAGTGATTGAGAGATGGTGCTAGATAAGCACAAGCTATAAGTCAAGTCAACCCATAAAAAACAGAACTAGTCTTATTTACCAACCGAAGAGTTCTTGGACCGTACCCCTAGACCTACACATACAGCAGGAGGCAGCTGCCATCAGGCTTATGGTACTGGATCTATGGGGTCAATCACTACAGCACACACACAGCGATTCTCAACAGGGCGATAGAGTACCAACCTCCAAAAGCCGCGCCATGTGATAGGATCGTTAATCAACACATACTCAACAGGAAATACCATGTACATGCTGTATGTGCTGGCATAGTCTCTCTTGATCTCAACATCAACATACACCTATCTCTAGGTTCACACATCTCGATTTTTCAATGTGAATGTGTCGCTCTAACTGATGCAGCCAGAGCCGTGCAGCGATTAGAAATTAATAACTTTTGTATTAAGTTCGTATCCGACAGTGCGTCTGTGCTGATGGCGCTAGTAAGTAAAAAGACAAACAGCAAACTGAAACTGGAGTGTCACAATGCACCGAGGCAATAACCCTCACAGAGTTACCCTACAGTGGATAAAGGGACACAGTGAATCTCTCGGCGATGATGCTGCCGACGAACTAGCCCTTCTCGCAAGTGCGAACCAGAATTCGCCTAAGATCTGGAAAACTCCAACATCAACGATGGTAGCGAAACGCGGATTGCAGACAGTCCAAAATGGCTCTGCCAGCAGTTATCCCGCAAATGACAGCGATTTCTAAACCTAAACAGAACTAATCTCAAAACAATCATAGGGACAATTACGGGCCATTGTCTCCTCAATAAACATCTTTTTGTCTTAGGCTGTTTCTGCGCAGAGGAATCAGTCACCTCGTGGGTGGTCCTGGAATGCGAGGCTGTGGCTAAACAACGTGCAGAAATCCTCGGAACAGTGAGGGCGTTCCGTGAAGCCTGCGAAGTGCCCAGGAGGTTTCTGTGCTTTTGGAAGAAATTAGGCTGGCTTAGTTAGCGAGGACTTTACGCACAAAGGACCTAGTGAGAGTCAAGTGCGGAAACTGAGTCCACAAACCAATAACCACCACAACTAAAGTCATATTTCTTCGCGCTTACGTAACAAACTGAGAAATTACAAGTTAAGTTAATAACACATTTGGTATACTTTAACTGATGCTGTAATTTGTTTAGGAGAATTTTATATAATAATACAAATATCATAGCCTACTTTATTTTAAGCAGTAAGCATTTACTTTTATACATAATATTTCTAAAATAGAGGTTTCAATAAATCTATGTATCTACGTAATTATCGAGACAATGAGATAGCAAACTTTGAAAAACATGATTTTGCATATTCAATTTTGATGACAAATCCAAATATCTAATTTAATAAAATATTAGGAAATGCTTTATTCATTATTTATTTAAATGTTAATTTAGATTTGCTGAAAGCAAAATTCATTACACACAGTAAACATTTATCTGATTGTGTAATCTTTATTAGTTCAAAACCTATAGCAGTGATTTTTTTTAATAGCAGTTGCTTTTTTATAATAAACAGGACCACAAACCTCATAAACATTAACCATGACATTTTGAGTTGGATGCCTTCCGTCATGACCTTGTTGTCTTAAAGTTCCTGGTACTATGCTCTTAATATTGTCACCCACTCGTTGTATTGGTGCTGCTGCTATATTACGCCTTTTAAAAGACTTTAAAGATGTGAGAGCCATCCTTGTCTCTGCAAGTGCAGATGCTGCCTTCCTTTTAGTTGGTGAATCATCATGCAACATTCTTTGGGCATAAAATAACTGGAAATTCCTAAAAAAAATTACAAGTAAGTCAAGTCTTGATACATGAGACATTAAATGTGAAAGTTTAAAACATTTTGGAAAGGTCAGTATTACAATTGTTACAAATAGGTTATCCAGAGTGCTGTAAAATTATTTTATTAGCCCAAGAGACTCTATAATGCCATACTATTTTTATCTTTGTAGTAAGTACATTTTCGTTGGATAATAGCAACTTAAAATTATTTTGTTATCTTTTAAAAATTTCAAATAGTATAAGTTACTTCTATACTCCTTGATATTTCTTGAAACAAGTGTACTTACATATGAGCCTGCTCGAGTTCGTCTAAAGGCTGGGCTTTGGCTTGCAGTCCAAGCATATACACTTGATTTGCTTTTTTGAAATCCCCAGACTCTTCACAATAGCAAGCCCATGCTCTATAAAACTCAGAACATTCAACACCAAGGCCCATGTTGTAAAGTCTCTGATATATTTCCATTGGATTTGACAATGAGTCAATCTACAAAACGTGAAGGAAGTTATAATATATGAAAATATACTATTTTCAGAACTTAAAATATAACATAGTTACTACTTACATATTTTATCCACAACTTAACTAGTCTTCTGTCTTGGAAATATGCTTCTTCTCTTTCAAATAACTGTAAGCAATCCTTAATCAACTTATCCATGTGACCTTCATGCCCGTGTTTTGGATAAGATTGTTCAACCCATTGGATATAGTTGAACCAAGGGTCTAAAGGATCTGGGCCTTGATATTGCCTAATTGCTGCTTCATGTTCACTACAAAAATTGTTATTATTACAGTGTAAACTCTTTATAACGAATTTCAAGGGACCGAGCATTTTTATTCATTATAGGGAGGGAAGAATTAATGTATGGGTATTGGGTTAAACCAAATAAATTTAACTCATTTTAACATTATAGAGAGTTTACACTATATTTAAGTTATATCAGTAATCAGACATTACATGAACTATTTGACAATTCCTAATAATTTACTGTTAAGAAACAATGCTCTGAAAACTTTAAGAAATCAGTAATTTTATTTAAATTAGGGTATGTTAATTACACAAATATTTAGGCTTTTATTGGAATGAAAAATGCCTAATTTTACTTACTCTTTTTGTTGCTGCAGCTGCTTCTGAGCGTCAACATCTGATTGAGCTTGTAATGCAGCTCCTAATTGCAAGGCGTTCCTTCCACCTCTCAAAGGTTGGATATTCTCTTTACTTACATCGATGTCCATCCTCACTGTAAAACAGAACCCAATAAACACGATGATTTGGGATAAACACAAATCCGGACAGTCTGAACTACTGTAATGATCACATCACTGGTGCAAAACAAATTATAAATTATAATAATCCTTGCCTTATTTAAGAATGCGTTACTTTTTTAACATAATTAAATACAATAAAAGAAGGTTATGCAAATACTATACACCGAGGATTATACTTAATTTCCCTGAAAAATAAAGCCTGTAAAAGCTAATGCACGAATCCGACTATCAAAACTGACAAGCTGAGATAAGCTAGAATATTGCCTATGGTTAAATTCAAAATAAAAGCCGTTGGGTGTTATCAAATATTATCTATGTTATATAATATATAACTGCCTAGTGGTTGATGAAAACATTAATTATGTAGGTATTATTACTATTTTCTCTCTTTAATTGGCTTAAAGGTCTCGTTATCAGGCCATAAAACTAAAGTTTAAAAAAAAACTCTTTCATTTTCGAAAGGAACTAGATGGGATAACTCTCCCTCTATCCTATACTATGTTATAGGTTTTATTTAAAATATTGCCTATAGCTTTAAATGTTTTAATTTTATTTTGTATAAAAAATCTTAGAATATTATCTAACGCATAGAAAATGGTAAACGTCTTATTTACATAAGAGTGACTGAGACAGCTATACTACACATTAAGCATCAATCATCAACGTTATAAATAAATATTGTGTTAAAAAATAATTATTACCGTTCTATATCCTATTTTTATCGATAAAGGACAACGTACAAAAATAAATCACGACAAATGTTGTTTTATCTTATTTTTACACATTATAATTATGGCCTAAGAAATTAAGGACAAATATTTCCCTTCTATTTGCTGTTTTAGCGGAGTTTCACCTGTTTCTTGTTATGAATGCGGCATGAAGCAAAAAGTGATAAATTATTTATTAATTTGCAAATAATTATACAGCCTAGTGTAGTCTGTGTACCTACACCTTACCTATTACATTTTATAACCTTACATGCACACCTTATTATGTTTTTCTTAGTTGAGACTTAAAAAGTAAAAAAATAAATCTTAAAGTAATGTTTTATTAGAAAATCCTTGGGTTGGCTTGGTCTGTCATCTCTTGTTTTAATTTATTTGATATTGGAGTGTTTTGCGCAGTTAATATGTTTATAAGATTTAACAGTTGCTTGTTGCATCATTAATCGTATTACAGTATACTAGTTTCAGTTAACTAAAATATTTTTTTTCGAATACTTGTTGCTATAGATTAAACATAAGTAAATCATGAAACATTAAATATTATATGAGTTACGACTATTTCAAATTAAATGTTGCAATTAAACATAAATAAAAAATTACCAACGACAAATCATTTTTCTTAATGTTTTTTGTTTTGTGAAGATCCAATAGAGGTCACATTTTACACACAGTTTACAAAAATAATGAATAATGTAATATGAGATTCAGGCATATATTTTTCCAATATAATAATGTTTAATGCAAACACTAATTAAGTTTCGTGAATAATATTTTTTCATATAAATTTAATTACTCAAAGAAATTAATAAGAACGACACACTTAATTTGATGGTACTACCTATAAACGCTTAATAAAAGCACCAGCATTAATTGTTAAATCATTTTACGACTCAATCCAAAAATGACAGGAGTGTGATATCTCTTTCACCCATAAGTCAAACAGTTTTACGCGGCTTCTATATTTAAGCAACAAGGTTATGCCATAAAACGACTAAGAGTACTTTTTAGGTTCATATTGCAATTAATAAATATTTATTATTATCTGCGTTACTAAGCGCTATATATTGATACATATTGTATTTCCTTAAGTAGTTATACAAATAAAACTTCAAAATTAAGAAATATGTTAATTTAAGTCATTATTTTTATTACAATTTTATATAAAGCTACTAATAAGTCCTATGAAATGTCTTTTAAATCACAATTGGATAAGAAAAAAGCTCAAGATGAAATGCGAAAGTTGATGATTGAGCGGAAAAATAAAGATAAAAAGCCTGTAAAAATTCAAAATCCCTTGGCTAAATACAATAGTGCTGGGCAGTTACTGTGTATACTTTGTTCATCAATAGTTAGATCAGAACATGTATGGCAAGTCCATATAAATAGTAAACAACACAGGGAAAATATTGATCAGGCCCAGAAACTCAAAGAACTGACCAAAAATTTTACTGATGGCAAAGTTAAGAAAAGATTGTCTACGACTCCATTAGATGCACCACAAGAAAAGAAAATAAAAGGAATTTTAAAAAACTCTGGTGAATGTGTTTCTTCATCGCTGAAGCCAAAAAATGATGCTCCTGTTATTTACTCTCATCATGATGAACAAATTAATAGGAAGCCCTTAAGCTTGACACCTGAGGAAAATATTGGTATGTATAGATTAATGTGTGTAAAAGGTGATTCAAACAATGCAACTCTATGTATGTGTAATTAGTTTTAGGGCTTGGTCAATCTTATTGTAATCATCTCTTTCAAATCATCATCCTTAAAATTCATGATAAAGGTTAAGTGTAGAAGTATACTACATATTAATTTGTGTGCTTGTTATTTGTAACTGTCTAATACCCCATGGAAAATAATTTTATAGCTGATGGTAGTTTAAAAGATAAGAAAATTGAAGAAGAAGAAGCAAAATCTGATCAACCAATACCAGAGGGGTTTTTTGATGATCCTAAATTGGATGCTAAGGTATGAAATTTCTTGGTTTATATAATAAATTTTATGTATCACACGTAATTTGCTTTAAAGTAACAATAATAAGTCCACCATGCACTATTTCACCAATCATTATTCTTCATAATATGTTAAATATCGTCCAGGACTACTATACATACTTAATGTAATTTTATGCTCTTAAACTCAATGTCATTACTGATCAAACTTTTCAACTCATAGTGCCTAGTCATGGCAAATTCTATAGGATGTGCTTCTAAAATAAGTCATGATTTTTTAGTTTTTAGTATAATTAAGTACATACTAGGTGCCATATATGTAGTTGTAAATTTACTTAATAAGACAACATATATACTCAAAATATTTTTATTTTATAACCCCTTTTTTAAAGCTATTACACTTATTTCATAGGTATATATTTACAAAGGCTTTTTTTCATATAATTCAGTAAAAGCATCATGTAAAAATTGAATCATATCACTTGCTAACATACTTCGTCCTTTTATTTTAAAAGCTTTTTCATTACATCTCCTTACAAGGGCAGATCCTGCAAAGCATGCAAGAGATGATGCCAGTAAATTCTTGTCTGTTCCTTCAACTGTTACATTTTTATTGCTTAAAATCCAGTGGAGAAATGTAGCAATAGAACCTGATAAGATATCACCTTGGCCTCCACACCTTCTACCTGAACCACCATCATTATATTGCCATTGAACTGAAGCAGCAGGACTTAAAGCTTCATCTGTTTTTCCTTTCTTTAAAACAGTTACATAATTGCCTAGTTCATTTATACCATTGGAAAAATTTATTTTATCCGACATTCTGTCAAATTCAATCTTATTTGGTGTTAAAATAACAGGTGATGTGAAATTTTTAATTAAATTGAGATCTTGTGTTATAAGATATAAACCATCAGCATCAATCACTAATGGAATCCTCATTTCTCTTATGATACTTATAAGTGCACTTATTGTTGACAATATCCCACTTTCTCTACCTAAACCTGGTCCAATAACAATTGCATGTAATCGTTCAAGCCAAGGAGTGATCATGTCTATAGCGTTTGGCTGATCTAACAAAGGGTGAACTATTAGCTCAGGGCTATATGATTTAATGACGGTTCCTGCTTGTGATGCACAGAAGATGTGAACCAAGTCGGCACCAACCTGAAACAGTACACTTTAAATTATTGATGTTCCAACTACCACCATATAATAAGCATTATGAGGCATTTAATGAAATAGAATTATTAAGCAGACAGTACTTACTTTTAGGGCACTTATCCCTGAAAAATAAGGTGCACCAGTATATTCTAATGAGCCCCCAACAATACCTATCCTGCCTGCTTGACCTTTGTGCTTGTTATTATCCAGTGTAGGTATACAAGACTGTACTAGACTCAGTAACTTAGTTTGATTCATAGTTGAGACTGTTACTTTTTGAATGTAAAATTGTCTGATATTACTGTACAGCAAACTTTTAACATTTAAAATATACATTTACAGTAATATGTTTAAAAAAATAAAAATTATTACAAATAATCCAAACTAAAGAAATAATATGTGTACATCCAAATAACAAACACATTAATAAATTGTTTCATTCTATACTATCATTGCAATTTGACATTGACATTATTGCAAACATTGCCAGTTTTCTCAATTATAGTAGATTTTTTATAACGAAATAAATATTAAACTGCCATTCACTTTTACTATAAATAATAATATAGTAAATTTGTATATTTTAAATTTCTTTTGGTAGGTATAAACTGGTTTTGTCTATTTTAACAGGCTCGAAACATTGAGTATAAAGATCCAGTAGAAGAAGAATGGGATAAGTTTCAAAAAGAAATTAAAGAAGAAGCTACAACATCTGCTGAGATAATTGCTGGTGAACAGGAAGAAGCTACCGCTGAAAGACAAATAGATGAAATTGATGAGCAAATTAGAAATTGGTCTAGGTGGGTATCTCACATATCTTTATACAATATCCTGGTAGATGTATGTAACTTTAGATGGTAAAGTTTGATGACTTAATAAAAATTTGGACTTTTATTTGAGTATTCTGTCATTATATTTGTTTTAATAGAGTGTTGGATCTTGAATTGAAAAAAGAAGAAACTAAAAAGAAGATAACAGATGTTGATGCAACAAGTGACAATGGTGAAAGTGATTCAGATGCTGATGTTGACTTAAATGAATTTTTAGATTGGCGGGCAAAAAGATCTTATAGTTAACAAACATTTTGTAAATAAATTGAAGTTCTATATGAATGTTATATTTTTTTATTAGTATTATAACTTTAAAAAGTAAAAAACGGTCCTCATAGGCAAAGACAGTGTGACCAATCCTTAAAAAAATTATACATAACATAAAAGGAATTAAATTCCCTTAAGAAATTTTTTAAGTTGGTTAACAGGTAAAAGAAAAAATGGCAAAACACATAGGAATATAAATAAAAAGTTAATCATATTCTCATTTCCTTCGTTTTTTTGCTGCTGTTTCTTTAGATGCTACTTTTCGTTTTGCTGTCTTAGGTTTATTTTCACTATATTTTGCAGCCAAATTATCAAGAAATGAATCCATTCGCTTAACCCGTGACTCTTGTCTTTGTTTAATCATTAACTCCAAACTATTTTCACCTAAAAAGTTATGAAATGTTAATTAAGCACATAAAAGTAACTTTGTTATTTATCCAAACTGAGTAGTGATTAAATATTTTAAATTATATTTTCTCTTATACAATACCTGAATTAAGTACCAGCTCCTTCTTATATTCTTCAGCCTCCTGTGCCTCACAATTTTCTTTAGCATGTCTACGCCTACGCTTTTTGGCTGGCTCATGTGTAAATATTTTATATGATGGTATTTCTCCTTGATCAATCATATCCTACATGAAAATATCATTAAATATTAATTATGATAAAATGTTGTAATTTTAAATTACATAATTCCTTACTGTTATTGTACTTACAGTTAAAATACCTCGTAGTCGGGATTCTTGCTCAGATCTTGCAAATTGGACGTGATCCACAATATAATCCAAATCCCCCTTACCAGCTAGATATGCATTTTTTAAATCTTTTTTTTCTTCTTCAGAACCTAAAATATTCATAATAAATGTTAGTCCATATATAAAACAACTTTTGTAAGATATATATCCTTCTAATAAAAAAGTTATACAAACCAATATATTCTTTTTCATAAGCAACTATATCTTCTTCAGTTATTTTTTTGAATAGCCCTCTCCAGTACACTGACCAATCTCTATCCTCTACGACATTGTCATTATCATCATCTACACTGTTAGTAGTGTCATATAATTCTCGTTTCTCTTTATCACTAAGGATTGCATGGACTGCCCCCAAAACTTTAAATTTTTCTGTTGCTTCTATTTTTTCATCATCTTTCACTCTATCCGGGTGAACTTTAAGGGATAATTTGTGATAGGCTTTCTTAACTGTAAATAGTTCGATTTATTTAATATTATGGGATTTTCGTTCAGAGATTGAGATGGTTTATATTTATAAAATAAACAAAATATCTAGCTTACAGCAATGTCTTAGCTTATAACAATGCTTTTGGTTAACAACTACATACCTTCATTTTCAGAAGCTTTTTCTGATATTTGCAGAACCTCATATAAATTGGATGAATTATAATATTTTTCACACAATTGTAATAGACCCATTATAATTATTACAATAAATATATCCAATCCGTTGTTTAAAAATTAAAAAATCTATCTAAAATAAATATGAGCTTTAAATTTTAAAATTATATTATGAAAAACGCCGGTATAGACAGTAGTGAGTAGACTACGACGTATTTTTTTTTTTTTGGAGTTTATGGCCTGGTATCTAGACCTTTAGGCCAATAGACTACGACGGTATTGTGGACTTGCAGTGTTGCCAGTGGCCGATAGTGAAAAGTAACAAATCTAGTATATAATATGGTACTTTATGACACAAAAAATTTCAAGTATTCTTTCGAAACAAAGTTTTATATAATTGAATCATTAAATGGTGCACCTGAAAATGATAGACATAATATAGTGAATAATGTCAAAGTAATATGGATGAACTTTCCAATATGACCATCGATTTGAATGCCCATATTTTTTTGTGGATAGTAGGAGCGTTTTGCAAGGTTTTAAGTTGCGTAAACTTACGGTTCATGAGATACATTTATTTTTACTTTCCATACAAATGGGCAAATAACACGCCATAACATAATAAATTTGACAAAACATTGATGTCAAACATCAATCACTTCACGTTTCAGTAATTAGTGTAGGGTTCCGAAAATTTTGAAAGTATCGACACCTACTCGTTTGTATTTCCTAATTAGTACAGCTTTTGTACATGTATTTCATTGTTTGCAACTTTCTGTATTATCTAATTCTTACTAGAATAAATTGTTTACTAAATTTTATTGTAAGTTATGCAATTTATCAAAATAAAATAATAAACCAGTAGTTGTACCTTATAATCTTCTAAAAATATCACCTCATTTTAACTAACTTTCATAATTTCGATGACACCTCGATTTTTGAGGTTCTTTGGGGAGGTAGGACTACCCCCTGTGTCATCCCCACCCTGCGGAACCCCATGGTTATGGAGATATTCATGGTTAAAGTTTTAAGGTTAGAATGGTAACACGGCTTACAAAGGCGGGAAGAAAATCTGGTTTTTTGGGTGTTTTTACTTTTGCTAAGGCACTAAGAATATTTTTTATAAGTACATAAATATCAAATGTAAGGGCCCCTTCAATATATATGTACTTTTAAAATGAGCCAAGACCACTCAGAGATATTATCTAGTGCCAGACGTTTAAAAGGAGACTGTTGATTCATGATGAATTGAAAAACATGTCAACAGATTATTGTAAACCATTAGAAACTATTAATATTTTTCCATTAGAAAAATAGAGAAGATTATAGAAGAGAAGAGAGAGATTATATAACAATGACTGAAAATTGCCGAGGACCAAATTGTTGATTTACCAGAAATTCATGACTATATTGGTAATTGTGAACTGATTTAGTTCTCGAAAGAAGCCTCGAAATCGAAAGAATGTATTACAGGGTACATTATTCGAAATATGAAGAAATAAATTAAATGCGATAAGTGTGTAGGTAGGAATTTTTTCCTATGAAAAATTTCCGAGCTCTACTGAAAAAAAGATGTCGGTCAATTAGATTATCTATTCCAAGATGTACCTAATTGATATTTGTTTACTGTCTGAGAAGACTCTTAAGTTAAGGCAAAGTGCCCAAAATGTATATAAAAAAACTTTTTCTGATCTGTGCTACCACATTACTGAAAAAATCGCATTAGACAATCGTCTCATTACTGTTTCTATCAAAGAAATAACTCGAAGATATTATTTATATATCGAACACCAAATGCTTTCGCAGAAACGTATTGAGTATTCTTTGCAGAATGGTGAACTGAAGAACCACTAGAAAAATTTGCAGCAGTGTGACATGTGTTTAAAGATAATATATAATATAATATTATTATAGGTCTACCAGGATCTGATGGCAAAAAGGGAAAAAAGAAATTGACGCTAGCAATACTGGGGAAATTGGAGTAAAACGTTTTGATACTTTTTTTTTCCTTATAGCGGCTGATTCTGTGTGTGATATATGCAAAATATATAAAAATTTATCCAATGATAATTTTTGAAAATGTGGCGAATGTGGGGTTTGAAATTTAGATGAAAACTCCAATTACTCTGTTCATGAGTTTATTAATTAATTAAGAACTTTAAAATGGTTCCAAATACTGCACATCCATAAAAAAAGTCTTCAACGCAGTATTTATAATAAACCTTTCCTCCTGCATCTCAATTAACCGATCTTGTTCTATGAACTTATTTTAAATTTTTATTACATGTTCACAAGATTTTCGCTATTCATCGATCCCTATTTGAGAGAAAGAAACAATGTAAAACTCATTTATCTTGTTTCTGATCAATTCTAAATCAAAACTATCCAAGTTTATTTGTGGTATAAGAAACCCCTGAAATAAACCAAAATTTAGTATAAGTACATAATATAATACACACGAAGAATCCCATAAACCAAAGTATCAAGACGTGTCATTCCTACTAACCAGTCAACGCTTGCACATGGCTCAATATCGATGATTGTGTATGTTCTGCATCTTGTTGATCAAGTATTCTTTGATAAACATTGAAAACAATATGTCTTGCTTGCGATCGAAGAGGTTTCTTCGACATTTTCATCACTTTTTAAAGGAAATTTGAAGCCAAACCAAAAACAATTCCTCGAAATTTCAGTTGACAGATGAAATTTTTCTTTTATTGCCATATGAAAATCGCTAATTTAAAAAAAAAAAAATTGCCATCAGATTCTGGTAGACCTATAATTATATTCTAGATATGCAATCGAGTCTGTGGCGAGAACTTTGACATTGATTATTGAAAGGTGATAGTCCACCAAATTCAAAAATCAAAAAGTGACTGTAATGTTTTGTTTAGAGGTTTAGAGATATAGAATTTAAAAAAATAAAGGTATACTTAATAACTCTGTCCTAGAAATCAACTGCCATAAAATACCGATTTAATTTTAATTATTTTCACTATCTAACATGGATACACAGACACAATACAAAATATTTATCGAAAATCTTCGAAGTAAAGAACTAAGATTACAGGCCCTAAACGATTTGAAGAATCTTTTAAATTTCACGTCACCCACTGATGCTATGCCTGTAATTAAAAATGTAGGCATTAATGAAATTTTTAAATGCCTTAATGATTCTGACAGGTAAGTCATTAGAAATAAACAATATAAGATTACATACATTCTTATTAGAAACTTCCCTTTTGTCCACCAATTCGGCAATTACTTTTACCAATCCACCTTTTTTTACAGAAGTCATGTTGATTTAAGTTGTGAGCTACTAAAAACATGTTTTAATATGTTTGAACCAGAGGAAGTTGTAAGGAACTATATAACATACATTATGTATTTATTAAGACATGAAAATCCTTGTGTTCGTCAGCTTGCTATAGATGTTGTAAGTAGTATCATCAGTATTATTGTAATATTTTTTCTTAACAACCCCCTTGTTACTGTTAACTGTTTCTTTTGTTTGCTTGTTATTCAAAGTTATGTTTATACTTTTTGATGTAAGCTATTTGCATCATCTTATTATTTTTTGTTGGCTCTTTGTTCTATGGCGGCATCCAGTCGCAATATCTGTATGGGATTTATAGGAACATGTTTCAAATAATTCATGAAAAACACTTTAAATTTAAGGGACTTAGATTAATTGGCACTATAGCTCTATGATTGATACAGCCAAAGTCATAAGTGAATTCCACGGTGCAATATGGTTTGCAATTTATATCAATTAGAACTGATACATGGATTTAAGATAATTGTGTAAATTCCAAATAAAAGTTTGACAATTACAATAATAAATTAAAAATTAATTTCAGATCTACAAAGTATTTACTTCAAGTCCAGGTACATTCTCATTTCCGCAACATATAGATGTGTTTGTGGCAATTTCCCAGATGGCTGGAGACCAAGATGTTGGTATTGCTAATAAGGCAGTATTGATTACATCTAATTTACCACAGGACACTTATTCAAAGGTACTAGACGAAATGAAGATTATATTGGAATATAATAGCAGCTGTAAATGTAATGCTTTTGAGGTAAGCTTGTTTGTTTATTCTTTACCAATCAAAAGATAAATAAGTGAAGGTAGACCCATGTGGAATTGGTAAGTATTTACTCTGGCAAGAGTTTCCTAGTAAAAAACTATTTAATTTAAAAAAAGAAAACGGGACTAATGTGCAGCTGGCACACTCAATCAGACAGAGATGAAGATAGAATGCCTTGTCATCTGCCTATCGGTACCTACATTGTCAAAAAACCCAAGTGAGTGTGGTCTTCCTTTTAGCCATTGGATTTTTTTAAATTGTGAAGTTTGGTTCAGAAATATCTCAAGAGCAACTTTCCAAATGTTTTAAATTGGAATCTCATTTCTTTCAGATCATTGTCAATATTTCCAAAAAGTCTAATGAGTTATTTGAAGTCTGTAAAGATCATGGATACATAGATTTTATGGTTTCCGAACTTGAAACAGAAGATATCCTTTATCAATTGAATATCCTAGAATTACTATCACAACTGACAATTGTACCTTATGGTATTTCCTATTTGATAAAGAATGGGTTATTTAAAAAGATGGTGCAAAAACTGCAAGACCTTGAGAATAATCCTCTAAAAGCACTTTTAATAACAGGTAAGTCTAATTTTATAATGTATTTTACAGTATTCAATTATGGACATTAGTGTGTGTGTGTTTACACCACATTACACAATCACATACATACAAATTAAATAACAAATAAAATATAAAAAATAAATATAGAAATAATAAAAAAATCCTAGAATGTGCAACAATGGACAGATTAGTAACAAAAACACAATTAATATAAAATAGCTATAAACTATACTTGCACTAAATTTTGATATACAATCATATCATATATAGTAAACATGCTATGTCAGGGTGCTATCTATGCAACAATTTCCTTCTTATTTTATCACCCACAAACTTTTGAAGTAAATAAATAAATATGTAGAATGAAAGAATATTTTTAAATCTAAAATGTTTTTACAGGTTACATAAAATTCTTTGGAACAGTTACCTATCATTATTCAAAGGAAGTTATACATGAATATCCAATGTTGATAGAGTTTTTGCTCAAGTCATTTGATGAAGTGGAACAGACAATATTTCCTGTTGTGTTGGACACCCTTGGAGTAATTGGTAGTACTATTGAAGGAAAACTGTCCATGGCGGCATTTGGTAAGGTATTATTAACATCTATAGCAAATAATTACTTATAGAACCAATGTTTTTAGTAATATTTTGATTGTTGAAGAATGGTACAGGAATTGTTGGTAGTATTGTGATGTTAGTGATATACCTAGGTAACACTGAAAATTTTTAGAAAATGAAAAACGGCTTAATATAGAAAGTTGCCAATACTTTTATTGTTTTTCGAAGTAATCTCCGTTCCTCTCTACACATCGTCGCATTCGATGGAACCACTGAGAAAAGCAGTGGGCCCATTCTTCCTTAGGGATCTCTTCTATGGCATTTTCGTACGCTTTCACCGCATCTTCAGGGCTCGTAAAGTGAATACCTCGTATTTTAGCTTTAGTTTTGGGTTCGTAGTAATATATCCAGCTTTCATCACCTGTGACGATGTCAAATACAGCATTTGAGTAATCACCGTTGAACTTATCTAACATTTGGCGACACCAGTCCATGCGAAGGTGTTTCTGGTCGTTGGTTAAAGACTAAAGTATGGGGAATCCATCTGGTACACAGCTTCCTGACGCCTAAATGTTCGTGTAATATTTTTTGAACTTGACTCATACCAATGCCTAGGCTTGCCCGTATCTGCTGATAGGTCACTCCCTTATCTTCCTCTATAATGCGTCGCACAGCACTGATGTTATCTTCAGTAGTCGCTGTTAAAGGACTTTCCTCACGCGGACGCGGACGCGGACGTCCCATCATCATTGAGATTGCTACGTCCACGCTTAAAGGTGCGCTTACACGGGCAACTAAAATTGCTCAATTCCAGTCAATACTCGTCAACTATGACGTCACGACTACATCAAGCAATTTAGCAACGGCAACAAGCATCAATACTGCGCAATACAATATTGAGCGATATGGCGCAACTTCATCAACTAGGCAATACTGTCCTACACGAGTATTTCAGTATTCGCTCGCTATGGACGACATTGTTGTTGCTGCGGCGGCTTTTATTAATCAAAAAGAAAGAAAAGGATTAGGCGTCTGGTGCGTCAAATCTGGGTGCGATCGTTTTTGGCAAAGAGGCCGCAATTTTCATTGTGAAAATAAAATTAAAGAAAAAAATAATTAATTAATTAAATTAATAATAATTAAATTTTTAATTTTTCTTTATTTCTTTAATTTAATTGTTTTTTTTTGTCAAGAATTAGATAATATATTATTCAAAAACTTTACTAGAATGTCACGAACAGACTTTGAATTACTTTTAAAAAAAAGTAATTAGAAATTATTATTATTTAGACCTCTCGCTCTCCCCGCGGAAGCAAGACGGCAAGCCGCAAAACAAACAAGTGCGAATGAGACATATACAAAAATTGCTAGGAATTTCCAAGTCCATTGGATATTCGTCAATTCGTATCTGCGACATTGAGCGATATGAAATATCTGGAGCAATAAGAAGCAATATCGCCGAAATAATTTATTGAATTTATTGAAATCGCTCCATTAATTGCTCCAGATCGGTCCATTCGTGTCGCCGAGAAATTATTGCCCTCGTGTAAGCGCACCTTTAAACTCGTTAAAACAATTGTAAATAGTGGCACGAGATGAGGCTTCATTAAGAAATGCTAATCGCAGCCTATCATAGCTTTGTTCTTGAGTAAGCTCACAACGAAATAATCATAATAAATCATTGACCGAAAATTTTCTAAATATAATTAGAATTTTTAAAAAGATAAAAATCTTTTTAAAATTTTTATCTTTCGCCTAATTCTACGTTTGTAAAAAAAACAACACTAACAATAGAAAAAAGGTATTAACTACACCAATACTAATAATATAATAGTTAACAACACTAATAATACATTGAAAGTCTTATTATAACGCATTATCTAGTTAAAGAAAGTCTATTTAAATATCACAAAAAAAATATTTCTACATGTTTAAAGAAATGGGAATTTTTTATTTTAAAATGTTGACTATCCTTCGGGTGTCGGCTTTTGTGACGGCGTGCGGGTGTCGGTTCTTTGTGACGGTGTGCGCGCATCGTAAAAGTTTACTCTCATCTTATTTCCCTAACGCGCCAAAAGAAGTATAACTTCAAAAACCCGGAAGATAATCGAGACCACAATTGTATAATTGTTTTAATTGCCATAATATAACAAATTTTATGTTACAGGTAGTAAATATACTCTAGCTGTTGAGAAAATCGGCGAGTTAATAAGAAATAGCGGGACAGATATTAAAACTCGGGCGCTATATTGTTTCGCCAATTTAATAGATATCGAGCGGGACCTGAAAAAATGTCCCGCAGACCCCAGAGTGACATTAATGACACGCGAATGGTTTAGAAGTTTAAGCAAACAGCCGTCATCTGTGGAAGTGCTGTTTGGGCTTTGCAAGAATCCGTTCCCAGATATCCAATTTGCTGCGTTTACATTGTTGGATGCAGTTTGCCAACATCATTGGGGCGAAGAGTTGGTAGCTAACTGTGCAGGTAATGTTCACCACCTCGATGGAAGTCAGTTGGCGGCAATTGACTTCCATGTGTCCAAATAAAATCTGTTGGTACCAAGATGAGATTCGAACGCACGACTCAGGCGAAAAAACGAAAGACTTGATTAGAATGGAATAATATTGATTAAATTTTTATAAAAAAAAATTGGGGCATCTTCAAGAACGCGTCCTCGCCACTCCTTCATGAGCTCTTGAAATAAATGGATTTTTCTTTCTATTTCCGTAACTAACAATTTATTGTGATAAAGGATATGTATAATATTATGATGTACTAATTTAGAATGTTAATAGCCATCGTAAGTTTATCAATTTGCGAAAATGTGAGCGTAAAATAATACAATTTATCTCTCGTTTAGAATCCTACGAAAGTTTATAATATTTCTAGGAAATTTATAAACTTGCGGATTTTGTTATATTCCGGTGACATATATATGTTATATAGTCTGTGACTGGTTGACAACGAAAATTTTGGATTACGTAGGTATTTTATCAAAGTCTAAGGCTACAACTAGTTAATAAATAATAATCAAATTATTTTAGGTTTTATAGAATTTCTGCTTGATCGCAACGTGGATTTGATAAAGCAGTTAAAGGAAGTAAAATATGATGTAATAAAGCGATTATCGATGTCCACGGCATTTGATGCTAACATTATTATGAGACTGCAAACTTATGTAGAACAAGGGCCATTCTATTCGGAAAGCCAATTGCAAGTGGCCGTAGAAGAAGGAGAGTAAACCCATATATTTTTATTCTATGTTTGTTATATGTTGAAATTCGCACATTCATAGATTATTGTGTGATTTTTAATTTTTTAGTTATAACCATTATATAACTATTATTGAAATACTAACATTATATAAATATTATTGATTGTCAGCACAAAGCTGATCTACCTGTAATTTTGTATAACGATTGGGTACTAATAAAACTACTTTATGAAGTAAAATTATTTTTTTAATTTAAATTAAATCATCCATTCACATTTTTAATCTTGATCTTTGTAGTGAAATACTGGTAGAATGTTTATATTTAAATAGATTTTACTCAAAGGAGTATCTTTATGAGTTCCTAATTTAAAATGACATGATCTGTCATTTTTGTTATGTCTCCTATATTGAACATTTAACTTTTCACTTAAATTCTGTATTAAATTTTGTAAAAATATTGCTCAAAATGAGTTTAGTAAACCCAGCATCCGGAGACAATGAAGTACCAATGACTGAAGAGAAAAATGAGAATTTACTTATATCTAAACTTGCTAACGGTAATACTGGTGATGATAAACAATCAAACGAAATGAATGGCGGAGAACCAGTACACGAGGGTTCAGAAATAGCTAGTGAACACGAAAATCTTAAGGAGAGAATTAAACAATGTCGTAACATCATAGAATCTCTGAAGTTGGAACTTAATCAAGAAAAGGCTCGCCTGGAAATGGAATCCAAACTACAGCCCAATTTGGATGAACCGAAAGTTACAACTGATCCCATTAGATCATTGGAGATAACATGTCCTCCAGACTTGTATAGCACTTGTGTAGAAAATAAATTAACATGTGACGAAAACCTTATACAGTACGAAAAACAATTGCAAAGGTATCAGAATACTCTTAATATGGCACAGATTGAAAAGAAGAACGCCATAAGGAAGCATATGATTGCAAAGGCTTACAAATTAAAGCTGCTGGAAGTCGAAAACCAATGTAATATTGAATTGCTAAGGGTGAAGCAGAGTCTACAGTGCCTTGAGCCATTGCAAATGATCGCTAATAAATGGAAAACAAACACTGACGAATTTAATTACGATTTGGACACCTTTGAGCTGATGCCGCGATATCCAGAACTTCATGCTGTATCTGGAAGCGATGTGTCCTCTGTTAGTGATTCTGAAAACAAAAACAAATCTGCAATTACATCGGATTAATTTAAACTGTCATTTGTTTGAATATAATTATTTTAATGTGATAAAGCTTTTATTTCGCTAATTAAATGTATAATTCGCTGATAAAAACGGTGTGAAATTGTGAATTCAATAAATCAGCGGAGCGAGACCTCCGTAGTGGACCACACACATCGAGGCACGCGCTTCGAATGCGGCCGGCTCCTTAATAATGCGGCGCGAGCGCATCATGCTCACTCGGTATTCGTCGGCGCCCGATGGGAAGATCTCGTTAACATTAATATTATATCTACCTACAATTTTGTTCGCGCGGCTAGCCACGCTCAGAGGAGCTTGAATTTTATTTTAATAAGATTCCAATTTGTCAATTAGAAGGCAAAGAGAACTGGTTTGAGTCCTATACCGGATTTAGTTGCATTGTACAGGCTAATAAGAATAAATAATTATTCTACTTGCGGTTACTAGTAATTCTCAGTATATTATATATATATGCATATTTTCCTTCTTAAAGAGTGCTGCAGCCAAACATAGTGAGAAAATTGGTTTATAATAATTGTCTTAAATCTAAAGGGTATACGCCAGTTCATACAAGATATCAGTGAATATCCGAAACACCTAATTATAAAAACACCAGTGACTTCACATTGGCTGCGGTCGTTAAAAATATGCAAGGAATGTTAACCGAGCGCGACCAACTTGAGTTTGTGGAAGTTGTCTTCTTTTTATTGTATGCGAAATTGATTATAAAATGTAAAGTTTCTTCGCTCAGGTAAATTTTTATGGTTTTATAAATAAGGCAAAATGCGTAGTTATTGATCCTAATGTGTTTATCTTAATTTATTTAAAGTGGTGACGAGGTAGCCTCAGTTTTAATTTCAGACGGATGGGTTTTTAATGGCTTTAAAAAGATAAATAACTTTAAAATAATGCCCACCGTTCAGGCGAAAGATATATATATATATATACCTTTATATTATAGATAAGTAGATATAATATCAGAAAGATATTACTTTACGTAATTCTTAGTATCAAACTTGTCCCTTGTAACACACTGTATATATAATATACAGGAAACCAAAAAGATGAGTCTGAACTTGTCAAAGGGACCTAGAACGGGGCATGCTCAACATTAGAAAAATTAATAAAATAAGACACAAAGATAAGAAGCGTTTTGCCCTAAATGTCCACTAAACTATGCCCAAAAGCTTAAATGGAGATGGGCAGGGCATGTAGCAAGACTGTCTGACGATCGATGAACTATAAGGACGACCCGGTGGGGAGGGCCTATTGGGAAACGAAACAGAGGATGATCGCTCACGAGATGGGCGAATGAATTTCCTAAGATACCTGGAGATCCTTGGAGAAGGGTTCTTGCAAAGTGATTAGAAAATAGATATAAGTTAGTACACATAAAAAATAGTAAAAAAAATATATAATAGAAACAAGTTTGCTTTGTTCTTTTGCAAGAAATAATAAGGTTTTTTATTTTATTATACTGAACAGAAATAAAAAAAAATATTTTTATAGGTTTCACAGTCAGTAATGCTTTTTAAAATCGCCACTAGATCCATCGGACCAATTGTTATTGTTCTGCAAGGTAATCGTGAATTCAAGACCGATTTCAGTGATTGCCACAATAATTAGTTATAGAAAAATAGACTGGTATTGACAGTTCGAAACAACGCCACGAAATCCATTCGATGTTCCAAACTTGTAGCGTTCATGTCGCAATCTTGGAATAACGTAGACAGTTAGTTTTAATTACCGTGATACCACAGAAATTTATATAAGTACGATTACAAAATGCTATAAATATAAGCTTTTCGTTTGTTATTTTTTTTGCCTCGACGCTGGGACTTAAGAGCTTTATGGAAAGGCAAACAGTTTAAAATACTAGAGGCCGGACGTATTGGCCGAGCACTCTCTTCCATTAGCCTTTACTGACACCTTGCCGGTGCTCAGTCAAAAATATTTTTTGTTTTGACGCGACGGAGGTGCCGCCGCGACACTCATTCACTACTTGGTACAGTTTACTTAGGGCTTTACCGGCTTCAGTTTTGTCTTATACAAGCTGATGCCGGTTCATATAAATAGTATAGTAATTAGATATTTTATGTAAAAATTCTGATGATAAAATTTTTTTGTGAAATTTTTGATTATATTTTCAATTAAGTAAAATGCCTTAATTTAATAGTTATTTTTGCAGCAAGCGTGGTAATCATAGACTAAGCATTAGATTTATTATTTGAAATAAGATTAAAAACCGTAAAAATGCGATAATTAAAGACTTTTTTATCTAGTAAATTGAATATTATTAAATTAAAGTAACATACATACAAATTATTTATCCCACTAATATTCTGTCTAAATGGAACCAAGAATGAATTGAATACAATTATACAAAACTAACGTACTATGCGCTATTACATCAATTATATATAGAACTTCTACATTAAAAATTAAAACTTATATATTTAACACAAGAAATAACTAAAAATGCCCTATTTGTTTAATTTTTATAGACTCTATAATTTTAAAAAACCCTAGACAAAATATACAGATAATAACGGAAGTAGTAAAAGTGGAGAATTATGAATGAGTAAATGCAATTTGAATGACAAAGGAGGGTTTTTGTTTACAAGAATCTTATCTCGCGATCTATTGCATAATAATTAGTTAAGGCGCCATGATTTAAGTAAACTATTTATGTGCCCTTATATTATAAAATCACTCAGGAATGGTTTCAGTATGATTCAAAGTACAAAATTTTAAAGTTTCGTCAATTTACATGGGTGGACTAAAAATTAAATGTGTATAAAAATTTAAAATTTTGAAAAATTATTTTAATACGAATACGAATGTTTTTAATGTTTAAAGAACTTTATTTCTCGTTACAAAAAAATGTATTTGATTTATATGAGAAACAACACGTCGCCATCAGCCGTCCCAAATTTAGTCTACCAGGCTCATTCTGATATGTATCTTTAATGTCCTTTTGAATTGGTTAAACGCGCTAATATGACGAATTTTATACGGTAATTGATCAAATAATTGGACATTCTTTTATATTTTACGTCTCTGTATTTACGCATAAGCATAGCTTAACAACGGCTGAATTTTAATTAAAAAAGCGTAATAATTCAAAATTTCTGTTTATCTAAAAATATTTTGTGCCGTTCGATACCAAGGAAACATGAAATTATCACGTCGCAACCACCTAAATTTCGAACAATTAACATATTTTGTTGAGAATTACGGCTCTTTACATTTTATCAGTAATATTTTGGTTATTTAACTAATCTTTATCTTATCAGTTGGCAAAGTATTGTACTAAAACGTGCACATTCTCACGCTTTTTGTTTCGGGCCAATTGAGCTATTTCTAAGCGCACAGAACTTCCGAGTATTTATCTCTAAGGAAGTGTTAAATCTTTTCATGAACCTGAGTCACGTTAACATATGGTTTGTTTGGGATTAGGGGTTTTGTAAATTGTTCAAATTGGCTTTAGTAAAGGCCTGAGATGAATTATGACAATATAATCGAGGAGAGAAAGTATTACTGAGGTCGAAAAATTATTTATTTTGGAAATAATTCCTTCATTCTACCGTCGGAGTGAATTTACTACATAATAACCCAAGTTCCTCTGAAATATTAATTTAAACCATTCCAAACTTTTATATTTTATTAGAATATCTTGTTTTATGAACATCGTGTAGCAACATTTTTATTTACGTCATACCTTAAAGGGAAAATGTAACACATATGCGCAAAACCGCATACATCAATAGTTTGGTTGGAAAGTCCAAGTAAATATAGTAAAAACCCGTAATTCATAAATTAACTTGTGAACCACGTGTGTGTATAACCAGGATGTTTGAAAATATTAAACAGTACAGGTATTTGAAAAAATTATAACTATATTTAAATAGAAATCATAATTACGCCACCGTATCAAAGAATTTGTATGTGAGATCTATAGATGACTAAGACCATGATCAAGATTATTATTAATTATTACTTTGAATTCTCGTAAATCTCATACTTTTTAGCTTATTGTATCGTATTCAAACGGTCCTGCTTTTACATAGTAACCCTACCTCCACTAAAATATTAATTTAAACTGTTTCAAACTTTTTATATTTTTATGGGTTAATTAGAATATCTGTTACAAAATTAGTTTTATTATAATGTCAATTTTGACTATACCTACTATTAATACATACGTCTCTAATAACAGTACAACAATAATTTGACAAAAAGAGACGAAAAGTAGTTAAAATGTCTCTGGTTAGACTAAGATAGGAAAATCACTATGCTAGGGATACTTCAATTTTTCTTGACCTAGGTTCGATTTCTGAGTTTTTAAAAATACTGTTTAAGATTGAAAGCCAAATGGCATATTGGTCGCGCTATGCCCAAATCTGGGAGTTATAAACTATTTTTGTTATCTGCATTGCGAATCTAAATCAATTAAAACTATATTTACATTACGGGTACCTACATATAGGTTTAACTCTCGTAATAATTAAACGCGCACTGCAATTTTATATACCAAAACTTAATTATTTGCCAAAGTTTGACAAAATTACATCTAATTTTCCCGGACTATACACACAAGCTGAAGTCAGTGAGTCGGAAATAATGTAAACATATGCCGGAAAAAAACAGAATAAGGCCCTTTCTCCACTGCTCCGGTCCGACGTCGGATACCGGAATGAGTTATGAGAAAAATATCGGAAGGCCGGATTGCGCTTCTCCACTATATCCGATCCGACAATAATCGATACTTGTATATTTATCATGCAACACTTATATTAACTAAAACCCATATACTTAATTTTATTAATAAAACGATCTAAATTCTGAATATTTTATTGCCCTGGCAAATTTATTACTTTTTTTATATTGTCTATCTTAAAATATTATAATCTACATAATAAATAGTTCATTAATACTATGGTATAAAAAATATAAATAAATAGCAACATAATTTGGTTTGGTCTAGGTTATCCAGATTCTTTCAAATTAAAGAAACTATAAATAAACCTGTGAATAATAATTTATAACCACTTGGATATGCTTGGACCGATAAAACACCGCGTTCCGATCTAGCAAGTTATCGGATCGTTAAAAACCGGATGCCGGAGTAGTGGAGAAGCACGTAAGTACTGTTGTGAGTTTCTAAATCGGATCGGTAATTAACGTTTGCCGGACCGGAGCAGTGGAGAAACGACCTAAGAATGACATATGAGCTGATTATGCTTTGGTCCTTGCATTTATTGTCTACGCATTGCCTACAAATTGTCCTAAACGGCCCACTGTCATGCAAATGTGGATATAAATTTCCTTCTAAAACATTTCTTTTTGTAAGGAAATCCTTTGTCGGAGAAATTAAAAGATGGGTATTTTGGCCTTATGTTACGAATAAAACATACACGTAATTAAAAAATAACAATTTAATTCACCTAAAAAGTTCTTTGTTTAGTTGAACGCGCTAATCTCAAAAACTGCTTAAAATTAAAAAAAATATTGTTCAATAGTTGATTTATCCAGGAAAAATAAAATCATTTAGACTGAGGTTACGCGGGTGAATCTGCAGGGTATGAAAGATATTATAACATATTTATTAATGTATTTACACGCCGTAAGCTTAAACATTCAAATAAAAACAGGCACATAACTTTTTAGACAAATGGTGGCCGCTAACAAGTAACTTCTTCCAGGCAACCATAGTATGGAAATATAAAAAAGAAACACCAACTGAGGGTAAAGTACATAAGTGCATATAAAATTAACTAAAAAAACAAAATTATTTGTAACATTAGATATACATCTTTAAAAGTAAACTAGATTAAAATCTAAAAATGGAATAATAATATTATTAAAAATGCAAAAGCTAATCTTAGGGTTAATGAGTCATAATTCATATATATATATAAGGGCTAATTCCGAGGCAGAAGAGATTCTCAAAAGAAGTTCTTAAATAAATGTATTTAACTGAGCTCGTCTGATAACAAGAGGTAAGGAGTTCCAAGCTGTATCACATACAAAAGATATCTTCTAGGCAACCCGAAGTTAGTGATTAAAACAGTAAGTATAGACACTGCTATATCTAAGCTTATGAATATTGTGTGTAGAAAATTTTATTCAGGTCATTTCTAATCTCTATCCGGATTAGGGAAAATGTAACAAATATGTGCAAAACCACGTACATCAATAATTTGGTTAGAAAGTCCAAGTAAATATAGTAAAAACCCGTAATCCATAAATAAACTTGTGAACCACGCGTGTGTGTGTAACCACGATTTTGAAAATATTGAATGAAGAAATTATAACTACATTTAACAATGGATTTTGTATTTCCGTATTCAGGTAAGCTGTAGAAAGAATATCTGTTACCTTAACCAGGCATTGACTTGTTGATCCTATTTTATAATGATATATACATTTACATGTAAAAACGCAAATTGTATAGTTTAATGTATTCATACCGACCTTTACCTACCTACTTGCGATATTCTAACTTTTTAACCACAAATTATCAAGGAAATATATGTTTTCCCGTAGTAACGTGATAATAAATAAAACGTGTTTTATGTATTGCTTTTTATTTCATTGTGGCTAATATATCTATTCCATTATTTTATTCTGTAATAGTAATCTAAAATAAATAATCAAGGCTATTAATTTAAATTATAAATTCTGTCTTCAATTAATGAACCTAAAATAGTCCGAAAGAAAATTGCACAAAGTGACAGTTTTGTTTAAATCGAGACGTATTACGTAGCGAGTGGTGGTGGACAGCCCCTGCAAGGGATGCAAGCAGCGTTGGTGCGGCCGGACATTCGGCACCCGATCCTCAGTGTCGCTCAAATCGCGGCGCGCGTTGGTCGTGCGTCGAACGCGCGTGAAGTGATGTCTACGAGATGAGGCTGTCTCTGGTGCTAGTGTGGTTGGGTGCAGCGGCGGCTTGCGGCCCGGGCCGCGGCTTTACACGCCGCCACGGACCGCGCCGCATCACCCCTCTAGTATTTAATCAACATGATCCGAACATTAGTGAAAACTCCAAAACAGCCAGCGGCCCCCCTGAGGGTCGTATCACGAGAGACGATGAAAAGTTCAAAGACTTAGTGCCTAATTATAATCCCGATATCGAGTTTCGGGATGAGGAAGGCACCGGCGCTGATCGCTTGATGACCCAGGTGAGATTTTATAGTTTACCAAAAGGTCTGACTTACTGAAAGGCTAAAATGATAACTGTTGGTAAAAATCATCTTTCAATCAAGTGTTTATTATCAATTAATAGTCGAGCGCAGAGTAAATGTCGAGTTGTAAAACAAGATAATGGGCTTCAGAAGGGATCGACTATTTTGAAAACTTCTTATTGCGCGGGTAGGGACAATTGATGGTGTAAATATTAACTTTGTATGAACAAAAGGCACAAATTGCGGGCGTTACGGTAGCTTCGTAGCGATTGTAGCAGTGCAATTACGCAGGCTTTGACAACAAATACTTATTGTTTCTGTGACTAATTGATGAATGATGAATTCTTTTCATTATTGACGCCAGTTTTGGTGAATATATGGCCGTCGTAAACTCGGTGTTGAAGGTATTGAAAGTCATGCGTTGTCATTCATTTTGTAAACGCGTAAATATACTTACGGGAACCTTATTGTTATATTCACATTGTAGTTTTTTGGCTCGTTGCGTCGATAAAAAATTTAATGCATATTAAAATCAGGAAATTCTTTTTATGTTTGAAAGGCAGTTGACATTGTATCAAACAAATTGAAGCATTATTAAGTGACTAAATTTGTACAAAAATTTGCCAAAATAGATTGGTACCGTACAGTGACATAAAACAATAGTAACAATACCTATAATATAACATTACTATTTAACATATAAGGACTATAGTCCCAAATAATTATTATAACATTATTAAACCATTACTTGGACTTGCCTTAAATGATTAGGTACGGTGTGGCTTCGATTCCCGTCGGGTTAGTGATGATATCTGGAAACTTTATTAAACTATCCAATTTAACAAAACAACCAATTATAGTTCAATAGAGTAGGTATAAAATATTTTAAAATTTTTGGAATTTGCAATATCGCAAAATAAGAAGGAAATATAAATTTGAAGACGTAAATTACTTGTTTAATCTATTAATGTATTTTCAAATTAAATTGTTTCATGTTCTTCGAAAAACATTATTCTTATTTGCGTTGAAGAATCATCTAAAATAGTTTTCATTTAAGATTGTCTAACGCATGTAATCAATTAGTAAACGTTTTTGCTGCCAAAGAAAATTTTCAGAAGATATTCGTTTTCATATTGAAACTGTAACGCAAAACGGATTTAGGATTAACCTCGCACTAATGGTATGGTAAACTCCATGTTATTGACAAACAACAATAATGTCATTGACGTTCGAGAATTATATAACTACTTGGTTAAAACGTACTTGACTGAAAATTTTTAAGTATCCCTTTTACTAAATAATATTTATTTATTAGCACTTCGTTGCCTTAAACATAAATACAAGAAACATGTTACATTATTTGTTAGGCAACAAGCGGTCTAATCGCTAACAAGCGATCTCTTCCAGGCAAAGCGTGAAATACCTACTGAGAGTACAAGAAGTGCATAAATAATTAATAAAAGAAACAAAAAATCTTTACAAAGAGGTACCTACTATCCAGAACATTAATAACGAAGATAAATTTCTCTTTTTGTAAATTTACACTTTCTATATAAATGCGAAAACAATGTAGGATAATAAGAATCAGTTCTTTATATATATTTTTTTTGTTTTAAAAAATTTGCATTTCTTGTCCTCTGTAGGTGTTTCTATTTCATTGTTCCACTTAAGGGATGCCTGAAAGAAATCGCTTGTTAGCGATAAGGCCGCCCTTTGCCTTAACTTTTGTAACCTGCTTTTTTATTTTTGTTATGTGTATGTTTTTGATTAAGGTAATAAAGTATAAATAAGATTTATTACTAATAATAAGGGATATTTTTTTTACTCTTACCGTTATTGATTAAATAGTGAAAATCAATCCGACCCGTTTACTTAAAAAGTAATTTCTCTTTAAAGAATTATAATAAAATAATAATTTCGCCGTAATCTATTCGAAAAGGCTTGTCGCATTATTCTCAAGCGCTGGTCATTATGTGGGTACTTCACATTTAATTTAAATAGCTGGTACTTCGGCGTTAATTTATGTTCCAAGTTACAAAACAAAAAGTAGGAACTATTTTCCATTGGTTTCTTAAAGTCCTATTTATCTGAATAAATAAGTCTAAAGCTCTTTGACGTTGTGGTTATCCTGTGCTGTGTTGAGCGCCTATCCCGTAAAAAAGTTAATTCAATTTCAAAGTAAATTTAATTTAATAAAAATAAAGAAATCTAACAAACATATAGGAATATTGTGATATTGATAGAATATGCATGCATCAAAAGTTTTCAGTGTAAAATTTAATTTGTAATTTTTGTAAACGTAGTTCTGTACTAAGCCTTTAGATTACAATAGTGATAACTTATAAAACATCAGAAACATATAATTTCATAATTATTATAATTAAAATGAATACTTCAATACATTGCAATGGATATTCCATATAAATTAAAAATAATAGTATAATAATAGATATAATCTATCGCTCAATGAATGTCACCAATGTTTTCGTGTATGAGAGGTTTTCCAAACATGATTTGTTTACGAAAATCTATATCGAATCCATAATCAATCAATGTTTGATTAGTGTTTTGTGTTTACTCAGCTCCAAAGATCATATAGCGTAGCCGATACTCATTTCCGTACAATTAACCCAAATCTTCAAATCGCTGTCGCTATTTTCAAGGATGGCTTTGTTTACTTCGTTTGCAAATAATGACTCAAGAGCATTGTAAGTTTGCTCGGCAAATATTTTAATGGCCTAATGTACTTACCCGTGGAATCCAGTTATGTGGCCATAATAATAATCGGTATTGGGTAGAGACAGTGGGATGCATGTGTGCGTTTGGATGAAGAAAGGCCGACGCGAATCCGCCGGTTATGTTATGTGCTCGCCGCGGGCAGCACATAGCCGCGTCGGGCCAAGCAGCCTTGCATTCGTAAAAATCTTCGAACCGGTTTGATGCGCCTCCATTACTTTCTTTCTGCCTCCGCTGTGCCTCCCATTTAACTCGGGCCCACTTTTTATCAGGAATCGGTATCTCCTTCTAATAGTATTATTTATTTCTCATGAATAAGAGAATACGGATGCGGTGCATTACATGCCAGCCTCTTGAGATAACCGTAGCTTTCGATTTTATCGATGTTTTAAGCTATAATGTCCTTTGGTACCAAGAAAGTAAGTGAATATGTCTATTTATAGATGGATGTAATGTAATCATACAAGCATAGTTGACTTAGTAAACGTGCAAGGCTAATTACAGTATTTCCTTGGTGACTGCTGATTTGTTCGACAGTGAAACAACCGCAGAGCATTGACGTAACCACTCGGCTTTGTCCATTTCAATTACATTACATACGATTTTATGTTAGACTTTATTTAATATTTCCTTTGAAAAGCTATGGGTGTTTGAGGGGTGGGAGGAAAGGGGGGTGAAAGACATAAATATCTCGGTGATTTATGGGCGAGGTGGCCGCGGGATAGGTCAGCATTATTCAATTTGAGGCTCGAGTTACAATGAGCTTTTACTGCGGTGCGCGAGCGCAGATAGCATGTCAATCTCAAACGCTACACAAACTTATGTTATCTACTTAAAACGTTTATTGTAATCCCGAGATTAAGCCGTGTTTTAGTTTTAATGATGGCTTAGAATTGTTTATGTAATGGCGGTACCATTCAAAGCCTCAAGCTATGCAATACAACTTGTAAATTCATTACATATTTTTAATTACCGGGAAAATAAATATTTTTATTAAAAACATGATATATAGTAAACGTACTAGCATCTTCATTATAGTTTTTCGCTTTCACACTTACAGCGCTGCACGGCTTAAATTTTTTGGAAAGCTACGCATTCTTGTTAACCTACTCAAACGAACTCGAACTCAGTTAGTAAGAGGATAAATCAAACACACATTAAAATCGATAAAATCGTTTTAAAGCCGCTTAATTATCGATTGTTTATATTGATTTCATTTTACAGTCTGATACGGTAAAGTGGTTTAATTTGTTGCCAGCAAAGAAGCCGCCTCCCAAATGAGGTACTTTTGTGCTTATTAGCTCAGGATAAAAAACCGAACGATCTCTTGTGAATAATTAACCATAATCAAATTAATCCTAAAATTCTACGGTGGGTTTACAACGTTGTAAAATGTAATAAAGAACACTAACGGCCGGAATATTGCTTGTTTACAAATACTTCGATATGTGGAAGTCGCTTACCGCTAATGGCCGGTTTCTATATCCAAATTACCGATGGAATTTCAACGAATTGTTAATATTAGTTTATATAGGTATTTTTATAGACAACTATGTTCTAGTCTACTAAGTATAAATAATTTATCTATTTTTTTTCGATTAAGACTATTTTCATAATTAATTATGAAAATAGTCTTAATCGTTTGTTTTTGAATTCATGTATTGATTATACTTAATATAATAAGAAAAAAAAGATACTTGAAATGGGACTGCCCCTTGCCCTAAAAACGACTTGGGCAATCCAATTTTTAGCTTTCTTTACGGGACTTTTTAGTCTCACTTTCTTTACATATAGTATATATAGTACCTAACAATAGATCTGACTCAGAGATATTAGGAAAAACTACAAGTCATATTCTGTAATTTATTTTGCATTGTTCACGCGTATGTTGTATGATAATACTAATTACCTATCCATATATAAGTGCTATTTGAAAGTTAACAATAAAACTGTGATGAAAACTCGGTGGACATTTTCAGCAACCTTTCGCCGAGTCATTTTAGAAACCTTGCTGTGTTAATTATTTGCTTTTATCATTATTATCTTTATATCCACAGAATTATGTATTTACAGTGTATATTCGCGGATGCTTGGCGGACCCATGTGACTTCTTTAACACAAAGAGTCCTCTCGTGAGTTGTGTGCTTCGATATCGCGGGCTACTCGATTGTGAGGAAGTTGCATGGATCTGGTTAGCGCTGCGCCTAAGTTCTGATGATATTATCACAGATGCATATCCTTTCTATAACATATTTTCTTAAGTATCGGATTGTCCTCCTTGTAACATTGAGAGCAAAAAT